AAGAACCATAGCTTTAAATACCTACTATTTGATACTAATGAAAAATGCCAGAGATGCATCGCAAATTTCAATGTTGGGTCGACAGTTATATCCGGGATGTTCTAAACTCTTGGTGGAGGCTTACAAAGATGCAACTAAGCGTCCTTTCGGTTACCTGGTGGTGGACACGTCACCTAGAGGCGACGATAGATTTAGACTCAGAACAGATATATTTCCGGGAGAGGACCCTACAGTATACTCATGTTTATAAGAACAAATGTAGACCTTTGATATAGGATATAAATAATGACTTCTGCTGTCAGAGAGCAGAGACATTTTTTAGAATTTTTGCTTCAGTCAAATCCCGCACAAAGAAAATTGATATTAAGTTCCATCACCAGAGATCAATTAAACGTGTTGGGAGAAATAGCCGCGAACGTCATTCATAGTGTTATTTTACTGAATCCAGAAGAGAAAAAAGCTCTTAAAAAATACAAATCTTTTCTCCTCGTATTAGGCTACAAGAAGACGGTCAAAAAAATAAAAGGAGGTTATTTAAAAAGAAATCAACTCGGCATCACAACCTTGTTAAAAATCGTAAAACCTTTCCTGAAAAAATGGTGGACGTGATGCAGAAATCTGTGTTGGTACCTTACGAGAAGTACAACCGCCTCATGACACTTCAGGAGACACATCGCGCGAATTCCGAAGCAGACGCGGAGAGAGACGTGGCAGAAAATGTACCTGAAAACACGATAGCCCTACCACACCCGGAGAAATCACAGAACCTTGACATGTCAACTCAGACCGAATCCGAGGACTCGATAAAACCTGAAACAACATCAGCCAATTTATCTACGAAGGAATCCGAGGAATCGCTAATCACAGAAAAGCCAGTGTTCAAAAAGAAAAAAAAACAATTGAAAATAAAAACATTAAAGCAAAATCTCGTTACAGACTTCAAACAACGTGGATTCGATTTTAATATGTGTATATATTTGAATAAAATCATATTTATCAATAAATCAGACTTGTTTCTCTTTTTTTAATACACCATACTACGCTTAATAGTTTTAATATATAATTAGTATTATTGTTTGCATTAGAACAAGTGTGATCAACTTGTTATAGAAGTATTTCACCAAGAGTCACGATTGTCTAATATACTCAATACAATTGATATTTCAACGTCTAATTATATCTACTGGAGCTGTTTTTCGTTTACATTGAAGTTCTGAAAAAAAGGTGTGAGAATATTTCTGCAGACTTAATTTCACAATATATTTTCAAAGGTGTGAAATCGGTTTTTCTTATGTTAACTTCATCAATTCATATTTTCATAAATCAAATGAAATCAAATTAATAACGAAGAAACGTTGTTCATCATTCTAATCCTCGCATTAATACTACTTATTGACTTCCTGTTACGGTCCTCCCTAATTACCTTCCTGGTCTACACTGAACCTCAATTTTGAACCTCAAAAAGTGGGGTATAATGTCCCCCTATATACTACTCTAATTTAATAAAAGCGGAAATTGTAGAAAATGTAAACATGTACGAACGGAGTTCGGAAAATTTACTAGCAAATCCAAATATTAGCTTTTCTGAAAGATATTTGAAGGGGAAAAAAGCAGCAAGGTATCAATACTCACAAATTGACAAAAATATTAACATGCGGTTGGACAGTGTTCATGCAGACTTTAGAAGAAACAACGCTTTATTGACTGACCTAGTTCATTAAATTTTTTTTCCTGTGTAAATGTTTTTTTTTTCTCGTTTTATTAGTGGTCAATTCCTTGTTTCTTCAAAAGTATATGTACAGTTAATACTACTTTAAAAACTCCAACAAAAATATCAACAGATTTTCGGATTGTTTGTTAACTTTTCACATCAGTTTATATTTTTTGTGTCGCCTGCGGAGCAGAGCGTCACTAAGGAATCACTTTACCTGGCGTCTATCTGTCTGTCCGTCTGTCCGTCTGTCACACCTTGTATCTCAAGAACTGTAAGAGATATGGACTTGATATTTGGACATTTATAGCTTGGCACTATGGCATTTCTAAATTGTCATGGTTACTGACCTCATGACCTTGACCTTTAATCCACTTTACCAAAAATTAAAATTGCCAATATACAGCAATTTTTTTGCTTATAACTCAGGAGTAATTTTACATTATTTAGCATATGCACTGATTTTCATAAAACATTATGAAAAACACCAGCGTACAATTTACTTGACCTTGACCTTGAACCTACTTTGCAAAAGATTCCCCGGAAAATTTATCAAACTTAGGATTTTTGAATTTTAAGAGACTGTGTGTTGATGACTAGCATTTTTACATGTTTATGAGCTCATTATACTGTTCTTTCAAACTGTATGATATTCAGTAACAACACAACCTGGTATTAAGATATTATGAAAATACATCGGGATCGGTATTCCACAACGGATCGTTCAGAATGGCAAGTGGTATAAAGACTTTGAAACACATTTTAGCACACGTTAAATGATAAGTAGCTACTTATAATGATTTCAACTTTCTTATTCATTTGGGCATTGGGAATTATATTTTTTGGATTGACAAATTCTATTGCAGTCTTATATTATGCTGGGATGTTTTTTTTCTGCATTTATGAACTATTTGCATGAAATACTATCTACATGTATGCTAGTAGCAATTATAAACACATGTAGATGACAACTCTAGATTTTTATTACATGCTTAAATGAGCTAAAATCAGGATACAATGCGTCCCTTTGAACACTCTTACTAGTAATCAATGTTGATTGCATTTGAAAGCCAATTAGAAAAAATATGTTTGTCTTCAATGAAATATTTGTCCCAGGAGAATGATCTTCATAACTTTATGAATACAAATTGTTCATAAAAATGGAAGAAATAAATTCGAAACTTTTTGAAAAACATTGAATTAAAAACGCATCTTATCCAACTTTCCCTAAATTTTGTTGAATTGTTCAATCATAAAGTTATTGGGTTATCGGATATATATATATATATATATATATATATATATATATATATATATATATATATATATATATATATATATATATTCTTTTTTTAGTTAGAAAGAATTCTGAATACATGAATATAATCAAGTTTCTTCGGAAAAAGTATGTGTTATTTAACCTAAGATGGAACTCCAAACATATATGTAACTGCTTCCTGACAAAAGATTGAAGATCGTAATGCTTATTGTAATTCACTTTTACCTTATTTAGACGCAGATATATGAGAAAGAGTTGCAAGGAAAAAGGAAGAAAGCTACAAAAACCAGAAGGAGTCAGTAAAACACAAACAGATGTCAACAATCCATCATACTTTGTGAAAGAAAAAACTACTTATAAATTATCGGATAGCAACCCTTACAATGAGACAAAGGAGGGGGATTATAATCATTTGAGAGATAAAGATTCCAGGAGGAAAAATGTGGAAGATACGTATCAACACACAAAACCTTTTTCCAATGGAAATATTTCTAACTACGATTCAACAGCATATCATCAGAATCAGGGACCAAGATTTACGTATGATCTTATGATTCTTTCATATATATTAAAAGTCCAATATTCATATTAGCTGCAGATCTATAGCTCGATGGTCTGAAAAAAATGAATTGATGACCAGAGAGGTACTGTGCCACCCACAGGAAAAAACTGTATTTTAATGGTACACAAATACTAGCAGTTTTGCTGGGTTTTGGATTAACTCTTCAAAATACGCACCTCAGTTGAAACAATTTTAAAGGTAAATTTCATCGGAGAGAATACTCGAAACCGGGTATTATCCGTGAAATCGCGCATAATACTCGATATTAGGGTATCGTTGAATCCGCGAAATCGGGTATAGGAGGTGAAATCACCTAATAAAACTTAAACAATAGGATGGCGCATGTTGCCGAGTTAACTTTCATCTAGATACACATGTTTTCTAAAGGTATCACTAGCCAAGTAAGAATTTGGGCGTCAAGATTAATGCGCTCAGGACAACAAATACCCTTGGAGCTCAGTGCATTTCATGATCTGCACACAAAAAGGCGTTCGATTTGCTTTATACTTTTTCTTACCTTGAAAGTATATGCATCTTCCTAATGTTTATTCCCAACACAACAGACTTGTAAAGTATCAGAATTCGATAATTTATAATAATTCCACTTCAACACGACAAACATGAACAATTTGTAAATAAATCAAATTATACGGAAACACATTTCACGCACAAGATATGATGCCATGTATAAACAAGGGATTGTCTATCGTATCTAATTATGCGTCATTAATTACTTTCACATTCATCTTGTGCATAAAATCAAATCTATTTATGAATGTGTAAATAATGTAATGATATCTAGAGGCCCAGGGGCCACATCGCTCACCTGAGCAATGCTAGGAAAAAGCACATATCAGATCAGAACTGAAAGTTTACTGAGTTTGGGGGGGTGGGGGTTGGGGGGTGGGGTGGGGTGGAGTGGGGTGGGGTGAGGCTTGAATTTAACCTCGCAGGGGGTCATGGTTTGAACAAACTATAATCTACACTACCTGAGAATGATTCCATATAAATATCACTAAGCATGGATTTGAAGTACTTGAAAAGAGGATTTTAAAAGGTTTCGCTATATATACCTATGTTAAACTTTGATCGGCTATTTTGGCCCAACCCTACCCCCGGGGTCATGATTTGGACAAACTTAAATATACACTACCTGAGGTTAATTTCACACGAGTTTAATCTTTCCAGTCTCAATGGTTCTTGAGAATAAGATTTTAAAGATTTTTCCTATATATTCCTATAGTCTGGTCCGATTTATAGAAAAAAATACTTCTAACGGCAAATAATTATTATTTGGTCCTGCATAGTTCTTCAACCTATTTCGAGTATGCTGAACCCGAAAAAATATGCTGGCCTTCATGAAAATGGCGTCAAAGAGGTCAAAATGGCGATTCAAAATGGCGGATATCCAATTTTTCTAATTTTCTCTTAATATCGTTCAAAAAGGAGAAATAATGTGTGAATATCTCACTGAGTGTAACACAAGTATAAAAATGATAATAGAATGCTAACATTTTTAGTTTAACTCAGAAAATTTAGTTTGTTTCTACATTTAATTCGAATTTTCTCTGATTTTTTGTTTATATATTGTTCTATATTCCGCTTTGTTCAGGATTTTACATTCGCAAATATCAATACACTGCAGATTTGTATTTTTTTCTTCTGCATATCACTATTCTACAACTGAGTGATGGCGCAGCTGTAAGTTAAAAGTCAAAATAGCGATTCAAAATGGCGGATATTCATTTTTTTTTTTATTATTTCTTAATGTCGTTTACATAGGAGAAAGGATTTGTGAATATCCTACTGAGCGTGGTACAACTATGTAAAATACCTACAGAACACTAATTTGATCACTTTAAATCGGAAAATTTAGTCGTTTAAATTTGAAATGTGTTATTTAGCTGAAAATGGCGATTCAAAATGACGTCTGATACACTCGAATTTCGTAGAAACTGCTTAATTCTGGTTCCTTTTGCCTTTTGTAAAATGGTGCCCCGTGTCAAGGATGACAACAACCTTGGCATGTAAAAGATCGTTTCTCTGGAGTCAAAAAAAGAGTAAGCTCACTGGGGGCCGCCATAGAAACCAGAATCCTTCAAAAACCGATTATTTAAACCAGTCTGATAGTCCGCCGAATCATGGCTGAAAAATTGCCGACTCGGTGTTAAACAATATACAATCAATGAACCAACACCCAAGGAACAACACGTTTATGTTCAAATGTAAAATGTCTATTTTGTTTTCCAAAACCATATGCAAAATGAACTAGAGGTACTGTGAGCAATTAGCTCACTGAATGATACCCCGGTCTCCCATATGAATATAATGACAGTGTCCATGTTTTGCTATGGGAAACCCAAAATATGTGTCGGATCAAATAAGTAAAATAGGAGGTCACAATCGCAAAATGTAATAAAGATTCTTTGAACCTTTCATCAAATTTCATTCAGTGGTATGAGAGGAGTTGCGGATAAGAGATGGGTACTCCCAAAGCGTAACAGACAGACGGACGGACATACCGATTACTCTATACCCTCCCGCTTTTCAAGCGGGGGGTATAAAAAAATTTCTGGTATTCAAGACATGTAGCTCTTTATTTTGTGACCTCGTATAGATTTGTTGTCTTTTAGGGTAGAAAGGTCATTCTATTAGCAAGAACATTCTCAATCTTGATCATTTGAACTCACATTGTGTGCATATTTTGGTGCGAAAAGTTGTAAAATTATGCAGTTTAAGAGCGCCTGCAGATTCCTCGTGATTCCTATCACTTACAAGCTTTCATACCAATAGGCCTAAGCCATTCCTAATTTCGATCTAGTCAACACTTCTCTTGACAACACAATTTTCTTGAACACTTCAAGAACTTTACAAGGCAACTTGATTTACACTTCTTTGTTAGGATAGTGTAAAGTTGTATCAAGAATCTAGGGGGGTTGAACACAAACATTTTCTTCTTTCAGATTTTGTAAATTTCAAAATTTTTAAATTTATATACACTGTTCAATACAAAATTATCCATTCACAGCATGAAATATTTAAAAATGCATTTGAATTTTTGACTGAGAATAACAAAATGCAAATGTAGGGACACATAATCAGAGCTGGACAATCAAGATGATTTATGGTTTACGTATATGATACTAATAATTCTTAATATATATGTTTATATTAATATTTTGGATATCATAATATATTCAGATTTATATGATGTAACAATTACTAGCCCTATAATTGGTTGTGGTCAATCATTTTAAAAATCATACAAAGTTATGTTGCACTAGACCTTCCACATGAACATAAACATTTTTTTTCTACACTGGACTAAAAACAGATCAAGAATTTCCAACAACTGAATGTTCACTCGCCTTAATGCTCGGGGGATACTGCTCTTTGGGTAGCTTAACTTTCCTATTGTCCCCAAAACAGCAATATTATTAACTTTTTATCTGAAGAAGCATGGTGAGACAGGTAAAAGGTAAAATGTCTTCGGAATTGTCATCAAAAATTTATCTTAACAATAGAAGTTATTAAACGAAAATCCGTGTTATAAAAATCCCAAGTCATAAACAAAAATATCCTCCAACTTTCATTGCATATTTGAACATTATTTCATGAATAAAAAAACAAACTGTTATTTATTTTCTGCAAAACGAACCAGAATTGTTCACGAAATTCGAGTTATAAGACGTCATTTGAATTGCCATTTTGAGCTAATTATCACATTTCAAATTTAACGACTAAATTTTCCGATTTAAAGTGATCACATTAGTGTTCTATTGTCATTTTACATGGTTGTTCTACGCTCAGTAAAATATTCACAAATCCTAGGCCTTTCTCCTATGTAAACGACATTAAGAATTAAATAATTTGAATAAAAAGATGAATATCTGCCATTTTGAATCGCCATTTTGACTTTTAACTTACAGCTGCACTATCATTCAATTGTAGAATGGTGAGATGTAGAGGGGAAAATACAATTCTGCAGTGTATGGATATTTGCAAATGTAAAATCCTGAACAAAGAAGAATTTAGAAACAATAGACAAAAAATCAGAGAAAATTCGAATTAAGTGTAGCAACTACTAAATTTTCTGAGTTTAACTAATAATGTTAGCATACTATTATAATTTTTATAGTTTTATTACACTCAGTTAGATATTCATTCATTACTTCTCCATTTTGAATGACATTAACAGAAAATTTGAAAAATTGGATGTTCGCCATTTTGAATTGCCATTTTGACCTCTTTAACGCCATTTTCATGAAAGCCAGCATATTTTTTCGGATTCAGCATACTCGAAATAGGTTAAAAAACTATGCTGGACCAAATAATAATTATTTGCCGTTAGAAGTTATTTCTAGCCTTCTTTTTAAAAATCAGGACCAGACTACTAGTATGTAAAACTTTGATTGACCTTTTTGGCCCCATCCTACCCCCGGGGGTTATGAATTGAACAAACTTGAATCTACACTACCTGAGAATGATTCCACATGAGTTTCTTCTTTCCTAGCCAAGTGGTTCTTGGAAAGAAGATTTTTAAAGATTTTTCCTATATATTCCTATGTTAAACTTAGATTGGCCATTTTGGCCCCACCCTACCCCCGGGGGGTTATGATTTTAACAAACTTGATTCTACATTACCTGAGGATGATTCCACCTGAGTTTTATCTTTCCTGTCTTACTGGTTTTTGAGAAGAAGATTTATAAAGATTTTTCCTATATATTCCTATGTAAAACTTTTATCGGCCATTTTGGCCCCACCCTACCCCCGGGGGTCAGGAATTGAACAAATTTGAATCTACACTACCTGAGAATGATTCCACCTGAGTTTCATCTTTCCTGGCCCAGTGGTTCTTGAGAAGAAGATTTTTAAAGATTTTTTTTCTATATATTCCTATGTAAAAATTTGATCGGCCATTTTGGCCCCACCCTCCCCCCGGGGTCATGAATTGATCAAACTTGAATCTACACAACCTGAGGATGATTCCACATGAGTTTCATCTTTCCTGGCCCAGTGGTTCTTGAGAAGAAGATTTTTTTAAAATGCCATTAATTTTTCTCTAATTCATAATTATCTCCCCTTGGAAAAGGGCGTGGCCCTTCATTTGAACACACTTGAATCCCCTTCACCCAAGGATACTTTGTGGTAAGGTTGAAATTGGCCCAGTGGTTCTTGAGAAGAAGATGAAAATGTGAAAAGTTTACAATGACGACGACGACAACGACGACAACAACGACGACAACAGACAACGGACAAATTTTGATCAGAAAAGCTCACTTGAGCCTTTGGCTTAGGTGAGCTAAAAATGTCTAAAACTTCGGCTAAACCCTCTTTCTCTTTTTTTTTTTTTGGAAAATCTTTTTTTTTATCATTCATACATATTTGCAGTATATGCCTTCAACATTTGAGCAGAGACAGTGATAGTTTCAGGAATACAGCTTATGAGAGAACATAACTGTTGATCGTTTAATTTCGATAAGTCACCAATATTTTACTATTTCTTGGCGACTTTAAAGGGGGGGGGGGGGGGTAAAGGCTTCTTCACCACCTCTGACAAAACAACCTTGACTGTGTTCTACACGTGTCCAAGAGACCTTTCTTTAAATGTCACAGTCGGTTAAACTCGGTCATATATTTTTAATTGTAGGGAAGATTTATTCATCAAATAAAAATCATATAGGTAAACAAAAAGCAAGCTGTTATTTTCTAACAAAATATGAGACTACAAGTAACTGGAATTCATGATAGATGAGTATTAGTAAAAGTTATTGCCATGAGTATTAATTTTATCATAGATAAAATAACTAAAAGAAACAGTGGCATATTGTTTAGAACCAATCAGATTGTGCGTTGTATAAAAAAAATATAGAAGGCAAAGAGGTAAAATTTACCCTGTCTATTTAACAGTTTAATAAAGAAAGGAAGGAGGTGGCTACAATTTTTATGAAATTTTAATGTCTGATGAGGAATTATATTCCCAAAAATTAAGACAAGATTTTCCAAGGCAATTGAACACTCCATTAATTCAGTTTGTTCATTTACATGTTCATAAACGTAAAAACTATAAGAAATGTGAAACTTGACTATGTAATTCATATTTTAATATGACTGTACGTCGATCTATATTGAGAAATTCAATGTATTATAAGCTCATGAAAAGATGATCACATTTAACTTTCATTTAAACACCCCCCCCCCAAAAAAAAAAGAAAAAGAAAATCCTGTTCTTATGACTTCTCGCTCTCAATTTTTACACAAATGCATAAAATAAAGGGTAAAATAGCATATTTTGTATCGATATTAAAATGCAACCGAAAAAATTTACGGTGTCTTTGAATAAAAATTTCCATGCTAAATTGACATAAAAAAAATACTCACCTTCAATTCTCTATTTTCAAACTGTTTTCCCGTGGGTATTTATTTAATCTGATTTTATTTTCGTCTTTATAATAACGTTGGTATTCTATTATGGTAGAGATATTCAATTATGACTCGTTTATACTGTACTCTCTAACTGTTAGGAATAATTTATATTTCACGTGAAAGGGACGCCATACATAACACGGCGTTAGTCGTTTAATTTCTTTAAAATTTCACATTTTGTGAATAGTGCACCAATAAGAAAATTAAGTATATGGAATACTTTAATGGAAAATTAAGACAAACGAAGTGTAGTTATTTGATTTTAGAAATTATATTGAAAAATAATAACGCCATTGTGTCCTCTTTGTTACCCTAGCAGTGTTTGTCGTGTGATTTTAAGCTTATTTGTAAACCTTATGAATAAGGTTTAATAAAAATAAATCCACATGATACTGATGTACAAGTAACAATTACTGACATAATGCGCCGTTGCTTTATTCTTCAGTTTTTATAGAAAGTTGCACGGAATACCCGATTTCGCGGATTTAACGATACCCTAATATCGAGTATTATACGCGATTTTACGGATAATACCCGATTTCGAGTATTCTCTCCGACCTTTTCAAAGAATAAGTCCTTACTTCTTCATCATAAACTCTTACAAAACGTACATGTTGTTGACATCGGCACGAAGTGCTTTTGATCGAATTATAGATCTTGCAAACTAAAACTGCGGTATAAACAGGTGAATATTTCGATGACCTCAAATTCAGAGCCAGGAGGACTAAAACAGCATTTACAAGAAATATTTTGTTGTTGAAACAGCAAAAATGTGTTAGGAACACACGATTAGTAAAATTTTGAGATGCCAATTTTCAGCACATGGAGAAATAATTAAGAAACTTCACATTTTTATTTTTTTTCAATAGATGGCACTGAAGCTCTCTGGTCTGTCAATATTTTTTTTTCGGAGAGCTACAGTTCTTCAGCTTATATTTATATTTTCTGTTTTTCTCTACCTAAACAACCATAATATTGATATGAATTTCTTTTTTTTTATTTACTCTTGCGTTAAAATATACACGAAAAAACTCCTGCTAGTGTTTCCTTAAAGACGATAATATAAATAAACAGACACAAATCGAGAAATTCAAGCGGTGCTTGAATTTTAGTGCTTTTAATTTCGTTAAATGCAGACATTAAGAATGATTTAAGAAATCAATATCTAGTTAGTAGAGTTTACAAAGGCATCAACGCTAGTTAGAAACGTGGGATAATATGCATAATTGTGAATCCCAATATGCATATAGTATCCAACGTTTCCATGTCTGTGATGTCCGTGGCATTCTCTCCTTGTTAAATACTGATTTCTTATAATTTCATTTCATTTTGAAATAAAAGAGTAAACTAAGATTTTTAAAATGTAGACACAAAGATAGATGCACGAGATTTATGTGCGTATTACTTGTGGAACTTCTTAGCTCCTGGCCTATCGCTTGGCAGCATTTACATTCCGATAGAATGATTAAATAATCAACTCAACTAACTTTCGAGAAGTTATCATAGAAAAAATTAAAAAGAAATTTAAATATTTTAAGTTTGATATGAAATAATTTTTGTGTAAATCACTAATTACATGTGACATTAATGCATATTTTTATGAAGCGCCAGCGAGTATCATGAAATATACCTGCGTGGCAATCAAGTCCAAGATTCCCAGAGTTATTACAAACAAATAATGTTTACACAATATTTACTTTCTAAGTGATAGCAGTTTTGCCCATAAGATAGTTCTAGGGAAGATTCCCAGTGTTTCACTTTTGAAATGAAATGCATAATTTAGGATCAATGACTTTCTTTCGAAAGAGAGCTTTAACTTATTCAAGCAATAGAAGATATTATAGGAAAGGAAAAAATAAAATGCAAACATATACATAATACATAACTTCAATAAAAGAAGACAAATATAAATAAATCTAATATGAACTAATACGACTTTTGGACATATCTGAAATTTTTTTGTCACAAATAACAAGATTTCTGTTCTATGTTGCTCCATGCTCTCAGTTTTCAACTGAAAGGTAACACATATGCATGGGGTACAACTCTGTGCGAACAGCAGTAAGCAATTGCAAACTGACAATCAGCCCTATGAAACGCAGCCAATGAATATTTTCTATGTTGAACTGAAAGAATAAAACATATTCACAGAGAAGTCATGCAATATATAGTAAATGATCATCGCTTTTGACATTTAAATGTTTATAGGAATTAGTATATTTCTTTTGTAATTATTTTTTGTTCATAAAAATTTTAAATGGGAGTTATGAAAGCTTGAACTGTCACTTTAAAAGTTTCCATTCTAGTTAACTAAACTATATAGTTTTGAAATTTGAATCATAAATAATTACAATTTTTTTTCTTCAATTTTTTAGAGGCCAAATGACACCACAAGATGAAGAACAAGTCAGTAGTACCTATTCTGAGATAAACAATTCGAATCAAAGCACATATTTTGTGCTAGAAAAACCATCTTCCTACGAATTCGTTGATGATAGTATGTTAGATTCGGAGAGTCCTTACAATGAGACTGAGGAGGGAGATTACGACCATCTGAGAAACAAAGATTCTCGAAAGAAAGATACAGATGACACGTATCATCACGCCACTTTTGAAGGCAATAGAGATATGTCTGATTACAGTATCTCAATCGCAGACCCTCAACAAGAACTCGAGAGCACATATGATCATATGCATGAACCATTAAATCTACAGAGCAATTCAGATTATGGATATAATTACATCGATCCTAATATAAAACACTATAAGTAAATGCTTTTAAAGCAGGATTTTTTTATGAAATGAATTTCTTTTATATCTACGTTAACTGAAGACTGAATAAAGTACAGTGAAGGCCATAAGGTCGCTTCCTTTACTCCTCACTGAAATATTAACAGCATTGAAGGAGATACTACAGGACTACTTTTGAACAATATTTAATAATACATGGCCCATGTAACACTTTGGCCACACTATTGTCAACAAGATTTCCTAACCTGTATTATCTAATGTGACCCGATCCTATTACATTTCGGTATAAATTTAAATCCTATTTTCAATGAAAAAATTGGATTCCCAATGAAGACCCGCTTTTTCCCGGGGTCTTGATTTGATTAACGTATAATCTAATCTACCGCTGAATGCTTCCATATAATAATTAGTTTTTCTGGCCCAGTTGGTCTTCCCTTTTGTGGTTCCATCCACCACAGGGATTATGTTTTTAAAATCTTGATATAACACCAACCTAGGATGTTACTAAATTTGTTCCATCTTTTAATTCCTGTCCAACGATTTTTGAGAAGAGTTAAAAACATCTTATGTTTTTTATGTAAAAACTTGGACTTCTTATTGTGGCCCCGTCCTACCCCCAGGGATCATGATTTAACAAATTTGAATGTTCATCACACTGGGATGCTTCCATATTAGATTCAGCTTTTCTGGCTAGGTGTTTCTTGAGAACAGTTTTTAAGTTTTTCCCACAGTGTCTCAATGTAAATCATGAACTCCTTATAGTGACCCTAATCCATCTCCTAAGGTCATGATTTAACAATTTGGACTAAACACAATCCATGATGCGTTCTCATAGCATTAAGCTTTCCTAGCACGGAAGTTCTAGAGAAGATGTTTAAAGCGGCTCTAGAGAAGATCTTTAAAGATTGTTCCAGAATATTTCAATGTTAACTTGGCTACTTTTAATTCTAGTCCCATTCTTACCCCGATGGTAAAGATTTGAACAATTTAGACTCTAAAATTTCCAGGATACTACCAAATTATTTCAGCTTTTCTGACCTCTTGAGAATTAGTGCGTTTAATGGCCTCGTCCTGTTTTGCCTTATCTTGATTACATGTATTATCCTTCACTCAACGTTCACCGTTCACACATCGTTCACCAAGTTGCGTTCAGCATTCGCACATCGTTCACTCACCGTTCGCTCTGCGTTCGTTCACCGTTCGTTCAGCGTTCGTTCACCATTCAGGTGGGAAAGTAGAACGTTTCAGGGACTGTATGAGCTAAAAAAAAAATTAAATACAAACTTTTCCGGACGATAACTGAGAGTACATGCTTTCGGGCACTATTTAGTTCAGTAACTGATAATTTTTTCTATGAAAATTGAACTCGTAAATTTATGTACCTTGTTATTGGTTATTTGCAAAATTATTTTATTAAAAAAACATTCTGATTGCATGTACAGACAAGTACTCTGAAATTCATATTTAAAAGATGCTTGCCTTTCTGATTAACAATATCTATATATGGTTTCGGAAAACAAGTCTTCCAATAATCTATTGAATTTTAACTGCTCATTGGCCCTGAAAGTTGAGTATAGGTCTAAATTTGAAGCCCTTCACAGGCATACGGAGACCTCTCTATATGAGTGAAAAAATATCGAATTGGAAGTTAAATAATATACAATCAACTATGATTTTTTATGGTATCAATTGTGCCCGGCATCAGCAAATCTAGTTATGTATTTATGTAAAGCAGACGAGGAACGTACGGTTTGGGTTTTAATGTTAATATTCCATTTTATTCAATGGAACTTATGTCACATAATTCTAAAGATAACATGCTTAGCTACAAGCTAAGAGAGACACTGCCAGTATCGTAACACAAAAAATACCTTATAAGATGATTCTCACTACTATACCCCCGTACATTTCACACACAGTCTGGCGCAATCGAAAACCCTTAAAATACGAACTTTTATCAAAACATTTCCTCATATGGCAGCTTATGGCAAGGGGTGAAATTTCTTAAATGCAAGTCGAATTACAAAGGTTAAGGTTAAAAGGTCAAATTTGTTGGTACCGAAGAAGGATATGAAGATAACGAACAGTATTCAATATCAAGGTCCATAAAGGAATACAAAATAGGAATAGGGCAAACAATTTCCTATTGACCGATAACACCCGCCGTTTGCTCCTTGTCGTCATCGGAAAATAAGGGAAAACAGGCACGTAGCATCGTTTTTGAAAGTAGGGGGGGGGGCCAACCTGAGAAATTTTTTTTTCACTTACCCAAAAAAGCTGACATACGAAAGCCCAATGACCTCATTTTCGTAGGTAAAAAAAATAAATTCTTCGCGTTATAACGCGAAACTTTCGCGAATAAACGCGTAACTTTCGCGATATAACGCGTAACTTTCGCGAATAAACGCGTAACTTTCGCGTAATAACGCGAAACTTTCGCGAATAAACGCGTTACTTTCGCGTTATAACGCGAAACTTTCGCGATTTAACGCGTAACTTTTGCGTTATAACGCAAAACTTTCGCGATATAACGCGAAACGTTCGCGATATAACGCGTAACTTTCGCGATATAATGCGAACCTTTCGCAAATAAACGCGTAATTTTCGCGTTGATACGCGAAACTTTTGCTGTTTTATTAGACATTTGCTTTAGTCTCAACTTTCTTTTGATTTTGACATCAAGTTTAATCATTTCGATCATAAGCAAAAGGCTATTTTGATCTTGGACTATTACAAGATAAATTGTAAGCTTTCTTGCTATTGAATCCATCTTTACCGTCACAATTTGTCTTTCTCAAACAATTCAAAGTTTATGCTAGTTTTCCAAAAATTAAACTTCAAGATTATTAATTTCGGGGAAAATCACCCCTTTCCGACGTCTTTTTCATGCACTCTCTAGAGAATTTGAAATAATTTTATTTTATAGACATCAAGATCTCAAAATGCGGTAAATTGTCAATTGTGTCCCACCGCATTTGTGAAAATTGGATAGCAGATTTTCATTTGTCACCGCTGGATTCACTGTGGAAATACGATATCCTATTTTTAGGTTGCACCACGTTGTCATTCCATTTCTTACGAAAACATTGACGATTCTGCTGTATACCTTCATAGTTTTTAGGCGGAAGCCGCCTATTACATTTGCTTTGTTGTCCTTTCGACCTCTCAAGATGTTTGCCCGGTTTCATGGTACTCCAAACGGATGTATCGCAAACTAAGGGCAGACAACTCGCTAAATAATATTCGACCCCCTTCCCAATCTTTATCGTTATTATCATGTCAAAAAGCGTGAGTATGCGAATTTATTTTAACAATTTATTTTGATTAATGTAAAATTAGTCCAATAATAGCCTAATAATAGAACGAATAGTTATTTTAGTACTCCCGATACGTTTCACGTTTGAGAGAAGAACGAACGACAACACATAAACAAATCGGGTTCAACATTTGATTAGCACGGGGTCCTGAAGCGATCTTTAGAAATATTACGAGGGACAAAATAATTCAAGTAGGTAATTATGTTTAAGAATTAATAACAGGTACATAGCTACTGAGGAACTTATCTTTTCAATAATCTTGTATAAAATAGAAGAAAAAAGGTATGCAACTCCTTTTATCAATTATTTGTATATATATATTGTATGTACTACATTCGCGTAATAATCTAACATAAGACGATTCAGCGTGAAATTATTGTCAACAAACCCACGTGGAGCACAAATGATTGACACTGATTGAATGGAAGTGACAGGCCTTCTCTTCAAAATAAGCAAGGTAACTAACGCTGTATAATTAGTCTTTTATTGTCACCCGTATATCTTTTATTGTTTTAGCTTGAAAATGTCGCCTCCCTATGTATGCATGTCTTAGATATCGTAATATGATAACTGTTATGGCCAGGTCTTATCGAACGAACTGGTACTCTATAATTATCATGATTAAACTTACTACACAAGTTGACTTTCAGCAGTTTTGAATCTTTTGTTATTTATATATACCCACTTAACTCTTGAAGTGGATATAGTGGCATTAATTTCTATGCACGTCAGATTTCACTGAATGAATGAATGAATGTAGCTCAAGGCGATAACAGGTGTTTTACAGCTAGGTGTAGATGAAGACAACATGCTAATTTCTTTTTGCATGTTTTAAATAATTGATAAGTTTTTGATAAAAACGTGTGTACCTTGAAATAAGAAATGATAAACATCCGAGTAACCGAGTACTTATATATTTTTAGTATTCAATACTTGGAAGTTGGATCGAATACCCAGTAAAATTGACTTCCCTAGAAAATATATTGAAATATATCATAAAAAGTTATTTGCAGTCCTTGATTTCATTTATTGAAAGTCGGATACATTGTAAAATAATTTTTGTAAATAAACATTATGAGATATTCTTAATTTGTTTTCAATTACACACTTTGTAGAAAATTCTGCCAAGAGACAGTTGTGAGGGGAATGGTATACTAAGAAGATAATCTCCAGAAAAGAAATCACCACTGATACCGGGATGTATGTACCAATATTTTACAATCATCAAAGACAAATTTACCACAGGAATAAAAATAAAATTGTCTGGCTTTCAAGGACCTGCCATGGTAGAAGCTTTTCTGGAAAAATATTCCATTTATCATGTTTATTGTGGACATCATTACACAGGGTTCACCTGTCATCAGCATTAGAGACTTGTGATTTGTTATACCTGGGCCATACGTGTATTGAATGAAAACAATTCACCACAAGCACATTGTTAATCTATGTAAGGTCTTCTATGTATGTTGCACCCTAATTCAATTAGCTGTTTTATAACAAGACTTTGTTTCATTGGTATTAAAACTTAATACACATAAAAAAAAACAAAAGCAATTGTGATATTTATTGTCTTCTATTACTCATTAGTACTCATTTTTGTGTGAAAGTTTATAATTATCCATCTCTTGTTCCCAAAAACCATATCTTACAAATTTTATGTATTGCAACTGGCATTTCAATTTTAACTTGTTATACTTGACAAAAACTAGAGAAACTGTGAGCAATGAGCTCATTAAATGATACCCCCGCCTACCATATGATTATAA